CCATTGAAACTGTTGATCACAGAGTCATTGGTCCATTCTTCTCAACTGGTGCTTGAAACGTTGTGTTTAATTGCTCACGGATCTCACTTTCTCTACCGCGTTACCAATTTTGATATTTAAAAGATAAATTTATAAATAAAATTTTCAACAGCGCTTTCTAACAATCGAAAAGGAGACCTTTAGAATGAATAGTCTACATTTTTTGGAAAATCGGGCAGATTTTGACTCATATTGAGTTAAATAGTTTGATTATGGCAATGTAATATACGAGGTGTGTTCAAGAAATAATTTAATTAATTTTAAAATATTTAAATTTCGCATAGCCATTTTCGGAGATTGTATAATACACCAAACTGCGAAAGTCTAGTTGAAACTGCTGAAATATCTGAGTCATGAGAATTACTAGACACAAAAATAGGAAAACGAGAGTAAAAATGGCATCATTTTTCTCTGATAACAAAGGCCAGAGGCTGTTTAATAGATGTAAGGTTGCTGATATTTAAATATTCTGCCGTTACATGAGTTCAATATGCCTTACTCAAAAAAGCATATCGATAGTGTACAAATACCCATAACTAGGTACAAAGTAATAAATCGAAATTTTCTCTATGAATATAATAAGGCATATTTCAAAGAAGGGGGTCAGTGAGCTTCTTTACGGATGGGTGGGGTTTACTGTCAAGAGCTCTCTATCAACTCCAGCTATAGACTTTCTGACTATTGCAGTTATTTCCGAKCCGCGGTTGTTCCTCCCGAGTGCAGCCTGCTTCAGAGAAGTGACCATCCACTCAGATAGCAGGGCGGCGATACTAGTCTTGAACTTATTAATAGTGCGTTCAGGGCAGGTCAAAGAGTGTCTCAACTCGCTATCAATAGCATCGAGTGTGTTTGAGATAAGACTGGTATGATAGCCAGTCCACAGCGGAATCGCTGGAAATGGTAAAGCTGATGAGCCAGTAAAGAAAGGCCCCCTAGTACTGCTATCAGTAGAAAAGTAGCAAGTCAGTGCTCCCTTATCCTCTTGTGTTCTACTATTGGATAGCTGGGATAAGCGGAAGCTTGTCCAGCGCTGGACCACCATCGGTACATGTGATATCGCAAAAGCCTATTGGCTCACGATAGATCGAAAAAAATTAGTGATCTCTTTGCACTCAGTAAGGCTATTCTCTCCCTAGTTGTGGGACTTTTAACAGCCCGTTGCCCTATTGGCGTCTATATTGTAAGGCTGGAAATCTTACCAGAATCTGTAGGGATGAAGATGAGTTGGAAACAACTCAACACTTCCTTCTTGACTCTCCCGCGTTTGTGAGGTCAATACTTAAACACTTAGCAGGGCATACCTTCAGACATCCCACCGAACTGGCGGGAATGGAAATTAATCGCCTGTTCAACACAGGAGTTTTTCCTTTCTAAGGCTTCAAAAAGGACTACATATAGCAGTTGGTGGGCGATATTTCTAAATAAGCCATTTAACCAAATGACACCTAGGCTAACAAAATGTATATTCCAACAAAAAAGGAATTATATCATGATGATATCGATTCAAAATTTTTAATGAAATGTTTATAAGTTATAAAAATCAGAGATTCCTGAATCTTCACTTGACTTMAGTATTGTCTTTGTACCGCATATATAGATATTGACCTACTTAGTTTCTTTTTTATTTTTAATSTGTATGGTACTCTACTAATATATACTTCTTAGTATATAATATTTTCTAACATTTCTTTGTTTTGTTCTATTCTATTTTTTCTTTGGCATCCCTAACAATTAATCACAGTGGCTGGCTACAGCTTTTGTCGGCCTACAAAACTAGAATGCAGAATACTGTAAATCTTTAAGTTTTACTGCGACAAATATTGACAGCTGTTAGTTTTTTCCTTACTTTCGAAATATATTTTTATATTTTTGTTTAGTGTATATGAGATCATAAATTTATTTTGTTGAGTTTTTTGACAAATTTTAGCGAAATAAGCTACCATATGAGTATTACTTTAATCACGCAGCCCTAAAAACTAAAAAATCTCTAGAGATTCTGCGTTGAAAATTAATGAACAGCTAAACTGCGGTTAACCGTTATACAAAATTTAATTAGTGGTTGCGCTTGCTGGTTAAAGCTTTATTATTGACTTTCAAAAAAGGGGTTTTAATATAAATATAATAAATGTTTTCGAAATCTTTTTCAACTTCCAATATAATATAAACAAAATTTTAGTAAAGTTTTTT